CCCCCCCCCCCCCCCTCCCAAAACAAAAAAAAAACAAAACAAAAACAAAAACAAAAACAAAACAGAAGATCAGGTATGAATTGACATATCCTAAGTTCCTAACTGTTTAATACTTAACCTGGTCCCAAGAAATCCAAGCTCACCCAAATCATGATTGTTAAATGGCAAAGTGGATCTAGTCCATACAATTTGCACACAACTTCTATATAAATTGGTGAAGGAAGACAAAAGATTAGATAGTGAAGATAATCAATTAAACCGTTATTGTAAAAAGTTGGAACTAACTTCAGAATATTTTTTTCATATACATAACAAGGAGCATTTACCTGGATGGTCGAAGTTATATTCACAAACTCTTGATAATTCTTCTTCATTCAAATCATGATAAAAGGAACCCTACAAAATCCAAAGACATAATATACATGAAACAATGTTGATTTTGAAAATTCTTTGATGAATATGAATGCGTTGCAATCTAATATGAACGATTCCCAAAAAAAATTAACGGTTTCATGCTTCAGATAGGATTTCGCTGAACAATAAAAAAACACTGAGTTTAGAGAATAATGGATACCGAGCGCAGAGGATGATGGAGACAAGGCATTGTTGCTCCTAAATTCAGCAGATATCTAAATAAAATAAGGATTGGTGCGCTATATTCTACAAAGGATAAGTTACAGGTCTAAGACTTTCGTCAGAGCATTAAGCTATCCAGTTTTATGGTAAAGAGAAATGGGATGCAAATGACACGTAAACACAAGTGATGCTAGTGATGGCCAAGTCTGCCTGATAGGATGAGCACGAAGAATTGCAAATAAAGCATGAAAAATTGCAATAAACAAGTAACTAGGTAAAGGAAAGACAAAATAAACATTTAATTCATCTTCAAGACTAAATTAGCATGTAGCGCCCCTTTTAGAGTGGGAAAACTTGTTCCCTACCTATTACATTCTTATGTAAGGACTTGAATCTGAAAATCCTATTCTAAATAAATAACTAATTACCTTTTCCAAAAATAAATTATGTAAGGACTTGAATCTCAAAACTCCGATGATCTCCCTTTTTTTGTCAAAAATAGTTTCTTCTAAATGAGATCATCGGTGTTTTGATGTCAGAATCACAAAATATCTCAAACTTAAGGTTCATTTTTATAACTTAGTTTCTCCTTCCTCTGTTGTTCCATCTTAGCCCATCAAGCATGTCCTTCTCTGTTATGTGTTTTACTCTCCTTTGTCATTCCAAAATCTCATCTTTCCAAATTTGAGAATGAGATATAATGATGAGATGAACCTCAAAGAGTCAACATACAGAGATAGGAGGCTTTGATTTTGAGTATTGACATGTTTTCTTGAAGATAAAACTGAATTGCTTAGGAAAGATAAAAGGTTTAAATTATAATAGGAATGGCAGTTACCTTCTTTAGTTATTTAGCTATAACTTCTTCAATTTGAGCAATGCATTGTTAGTGTATTATCTAGAATCATTATTCTTGCACTTTATCTATATAATATATTTTTTTCCAGTTTTGGTTTGATACGATTCTTAATTATTAATTCCCAAGTACATATAGCCCACATCCACAGGAAGTAAAAGAAGTCCACTTTATTACCATTCTTGATCCCACAAAAACCCCTCTTCTTCATCTCTCAAAAGTCACTCTCTACACCCTAGAATTACACATTTGTTTCTTCTCTAAATCATATTCAACATCCCTTACAATGGTGCAATCTTTTCTTGATGGCTTGATTTGTAATGAATCTTTCAAGGAGAATTTAAAGAGCTTTTCTACAATCGTGTAGGATTTCTCCTTTGACTTAGGTTATCAAATCCCTATCAACTTTCAATTGGAATTTAGCTTCCATTGAAATTGTTTCTTTTTGGTCAAAGTCAAAGCTCAATCTAGGTCGAACTAGAATAAGTTAAATGCAAAGATAAATCCTAACATGATCTACCTGATAGATAATAATTATATGTGGTTGATGACTATAGTCATTGGATCTCTATCTACGCCTTTGTGTTTCTTAAGAACAATCAATTTCTACTACATTGAAAACCCATTTAAAAAAGGATCTACTAGATGGCAAGAAAAACATCTATTTTTAGACAAAATCGGAAGTGAATAAATAAACAAAAATAAACTAAAATATGAAAAAATAATTATTTATCAGGTACTACTAAATTTTTTATTATTTATGTATACATGTTGAGGATGAACCTTGGCGCAATAGTAAGATTGCTGCTTGGTGACCTAGAGATTGCAAGTTTAAGTCTCAGAAACAACTCCTCCGCGTGCCAGGATAAGTTTGTGTATATTTGACCTCTAAAAACCCACAATGGTGGGAGTCTAATGTAGTGGGCTGCCCTCTGTAGCATATGTATGTCTAAAAGTTTTAATTGATTAACATATATAATTGTGCATGCATATAACACTTCTAAAGTCGTCTTTTTAAACTAAACCATTTTAAACATGGCTTACTAGTTACCCCATTTTTAAGATCTATATTAATTATTATCATCCTTTCGGATAAGCATTTTTGCTTATTCTTTGTACTATATATAAATATTTTTTAATTTTTTTGGCCCTTTCTAACTATAGTAGTTACAACTAGGGAGAAAGGGAGTGATGAGCAACATCATTGAGCCTCCTGATTAACGGTTTGTTACTTAAAGCATCATTCAAAGCAATGTCCTCAGTCTTCAACTTGATGTTTCCAGCCTTGTTGGAGAATTCCAATGCATAAACACATGCAACAAAAAGTTGACCTTCTTGAGAGTAGAGATGCAATATCGATGAAGAGCTATAATGGTGTCATCCACTTTGATGTCGCTTTTCGTCTTCAAACATCTACGATATTCATCACAATTTTTTATGTCTCACGCTTTTGAAGATGTGGTTCAGAATGTTCAAGACCGGCAAAAAGATCTCCATGTTGTCGAGCTTGAGCATGCATATGGGCATACTGCTGATTTACATACTCGATCAACCTAACATATTATTGAAAAATCATGGAATACGCTTCCTCGATTTTGGTGAGGAAGAGGTGATAGAGAAAGTGCAGAGAAGGATAAAGGTAAACGCTAAAGAAATAAGGAGTCATAGAGAATTCATGGAACCGGAATTAGTCAAGAAAGAAGAAAATAATTTGTCATTACAGAATGTAATAAATTGAAGAAAGTAACTAACTAAATAAAGAAAAATACATAACAGAAAAGAAAATCAATTCATGACTTAAACTAGATTAACTTCATCAGTTATGGCTCTTCAGCCCTAAGAATTTTTATATTATCAAGACTTCAGTTCTAAAAATACTATCCTAAGCAAATAACTAATCAGCTTGCATCAGATAAGGCTTACATTTGAAACAAAATATGAACTAGCTAAACAACTTAAAATAAGAACTTAAAACTTCTATCTAAGCTTGGACACAGTTCACAATCTTGATCTAATCACAAATCTTACATACTTAAAGATAATACTTCACTTGCAAGCAATATATTTCGCTTCTTCATCAACTGCGAATTGGCTCCAAGCAAGTGGGAACTCACCTGAATCACTGCCTCTCTCTGAAAACGTCAAATATCAATACTACTTTTAACATCTAAATTTAAGGTAAATTTAAAAGGATAATAGTTATAGAGTTTTAAACACGCTCCTCTAGGATTCTCATGAATTTTAAATGGAGTATTGTAGTGTTATTATGAGCGGGTTTGAATTATGTTTTGAGTTTAACTAATTGGATACTAGATCATGAAGCAGAATTTGGCTGAATTCCTAAACAATTAAGTTATATGCAGATGTTTGCCCAAAAAACACAATTCAAAAGCAACCTCTTGTGCCTTTGTTTCTTAAATCTTCTTGCTCGTATAGAGAAGGGATATAAAACTTTCAGGTACTGTATTGAGGACATCTCTAATCAATATATATACTCAAGGCTTAAGCGGAGAGCATCCACCAACTCAAGAACTTCCATTTTACCGGTCTTTTAAACTAATGAAAGCAAATAATCTAGATGTTAAATATCATTTTTCTCCTTTTTTTGGTGGTTTTCTATATTTTCTGGTTTTAACCACCAGTTCCATCATGATCACCCTCACATGCCATCCTAAACTAATGGATTTAGGAAATCGACCAAAATCATGACATCAATGCTACTCCTAACCTCATTATGAACCGAACTCCTTTCCTTTGATGTATGTAACTTGGAGCTACTTCTTTTAGCAAATGCCATGTATTATTCTTATTCCTCTTATTTTAATAGTTTTGGCAGATACTAACATACCAATTTACAATCTATATAATGAAATGTTGTAGGATTGCATTCATAACGAACGGAACTATTGGTGTGCCATGCATGTTGTGTAATGAACAAAATATGGATGATAAATAGATTTCATAAACTCAATGAGAAAGTAGTAGATAGAGAAATGAAACCACATACTTGATTTACAAGAACAACACGTTGGTCATGAAGTTGTTCAATGATCATATCACAGACAGTCTTCTTCCCTGAAGCTGCACCACCAGCAACTCCTACAAATAATAAAAGTAGTGGCAAGCCCTAAGACATATCAAACAGATGTAAAGACAAACAAGTTGCATTAACTTGCACATCAACATGCTATAACTACGAACAATAGAAACTTTCTTATATTGATTTATAAATCAAAATTGTATAGAATAATATATAACAGCCAACCTACAACACTCACTTTTGCAACTGGTATGTTGCGGTTTCTATGATCCTCTACGACCATAAAAAGGACAATTGCAAATTTGCACGTCGAAAGTAGATATTGACATTTAGAATTGTCTTTACCTCAAAGCTTTCTTTGAAGCCCTGAGTTTCGACTGTTTCTTACATGGATTTATAAATCAAAATTGCGCAGCATTATAGAACAGCCAGCCTACGAACTCGCTTTTGCTACTGGTGCGTTGTGTTTCCTATGATCTTCTACAACTGCAAAAGGCACAACTGCAAATTTGGACATCACAAATAGATTGGCATTGAGTATTGTCTTTCTTTGAATCCCTTGAGTCATCTTATAGCCTGTTTATATATCTCATAAAATATGTGATTATCTAGTGTGAAGAAGTTTACATCTTATGGTCTCTAAATAAAAAAAGCTTAGCAACTGGGTGACCTCCTAAGACAGATATTAAGTGCTTCATTTCATAAAAATCCAAGTAGCAAACAAACATGGATAGAGATTAAACTTTGAAATAACTATGTGCAACAAGAACTCAGTGTACAAGTTCTAACCGATTAAAAAGGGTTGTCGCTGAATGTCATCATTTGACAAACTGTTGGATTTATCTGATTTCAAATTTCTTTGTTCCAAACCATCAACATGAAGTCTTGAAAAGTGAACATCAGCAGACATCTGCAACAAATCTTCTGTTGATTTAGAATTCATAGGATGTAATTTAACCTGTAAAAGGATATGAAAAGAAATATCACAAACCCTAAAAAGACAACAAAATCAAGCTATACATTTGCACAAAACCTCCAACAATGTACATTAACTTCTTAAAGACAAATAAACTGACATGGGCCAAGTAATTGGTCCCACAAATAGATATGAGTTTATGTATGTTAAAAACATTCAAATATAACATAAAGTGAATCTCATCTATATGTTTGTTTCCAACTTGGTTAATCAATGCACCTTTCAAATCCACATGTGTGTGCATCTGCATGTAGAGTAGAGGCAATTTAGATATGAGCTGGCATGTCAACTCAGTTAATCAATGCACCTTTCAAATCCACATGTGTGTGCATCTGCATGTAGAGGCAATTTAGATATGAGCTGGCATGTCAACTCAGTTAATCAATGCACCTCTCGCGCTTATGATGAAGACGAAGCCTCTTGCCAACGACAAGGCTCTTTTCGTCTTCTATCTCCACCAATGACAAGGCTCCTTTCTAGTTTCTCCTTGGCTTCTCCAATTTCTAAAACCTAACTCCTCTCAACAAAGATGAAGGCTTCTAAACTATAACTCCTTTAACTCTTCCAATTCTCCCCCGTGTTTGAACATTTTGAATAGTTTGCATTTATAAAATATCTAAATAATAAATAGATAAGATAAACTATGTTACACGTTACATTTTTGTATTTTTTAATTAATCCTTAAGAGGAGGCAGAGCGTTATATTATGGGTTACCGTTATGTTCAACATCTAAATAGATGTTGCCCAAAATATTCTAAACATCTAAAATTTTGTGTACAAGGGCTTCAAGCAATTACATCAGGAATAATCAATTGGAACCCACTTTAGAAGCCCTTGTGTGTATCTGTGGGTGGGGGTGGGAAGTTTCAAGTAATTACTCCTAGGTGAGAATTTTCGTGAGTATTTCATAGTGAGTTAATTCACTGATGGTCCACTTATTTACCATATACAAATAGGTTTAAGTATGAAAGATCAATGATTTTGAAACTTCTTCCATCTTCATAGTTGGTTGCGAAATATATGTTACTCAGCGTAGGGAAAAGGTAAAGATTGATGCATATGTCATAGACTATTTAGGATATATAGACAAGATGAATTGATCATCTAAAGGACGGCTCATCCTAGAGTTCTCAAAAAGATTACTTTGAGAACTAGTTCCTAATGGAAGATCTTGGTACCTATAGATACATGCACAGACATATTATACAATGATGGGCCCTATCTATTCTTGGAAATATAAGTGAGGGGACAAATTTTCAAACCCAACCTGTTTGCCAAAAAAAGACTCGTTTCAAACTTAATTTTAAAAACCAACCTAGTTGGACAGAAACTGGGTCGGTTTTTGAAAAAAAAATTCCCAAACTTCACGGGAGTTGAAGTCCCGTGAAGTTTTGTTATATAAAAAACTTCACGGTACTTCAACTCCCGTGAAGTTTGGGAACTTTTTTTTCAAAAACAGACACAGTTTCAGCTAACTGGGTCTGTTTTTAAAATTAAGTTTGAAATGGATCTGTTTTTAGGAATAAAATTCAAAATAGGTTGGTTATGAAAATTTGTCCATAAGTGAGAAGAAAGCACTGGAAAGTATACTAGCGCCAGAAACATCTTATGGCTTAACAATATACATAAGGCATTCCTTCCACCTACAGTGATGCATGCATCTTCCATCAAATTACAAAGATGTTGGCTTGGGCTGCCTAAGTTTTATACTAAAATAAACCATGATAATAGGAGGCTTATGAAAAAGCATTAGGTTTAAGTAGGAAATCTAAATTGATCATTAACCGTTACTTAGACTGGTACGCTAAAGAGGACGAGTCCTCTCCCCCTCAACTCCACAAACCACCACCATCTCAATGCTCCGCTTTAATTCCACCTCCACCGACTACTGACCCTAAACGCCACACATCCCTCGTGGATCCCAGTCTCTGCTACGACCACATCCAAAGCCTTATGGCATGCTTTAAATACTTCACAATCCCAACCTCCTCATTTTCTACTCTCGTAATCACCACAAGGTCCAATCTCGCATCTTCTCATTGGATAATATAGTCAATATCTCAGCAAAGAGTCAAGAATGATGATCAACCTATGTAATTAACAATCGCATGAAGTAGACGATCCCCATTCCACATTGCCCAATTCCTCGGTTCCCTCCTTAACAAAAAGTTGCGACCATTTGAATTGAACATAACCCAAGTCATAACATCATAAATCAATCAAGGCACGCATTTTAACATAATCAATTTACGAAGTATTAAAATTTACCGAGGCCATCTCTTGAGAAGCCACTCAGCCCACACTCCCTATATTTAAAAAAAAAACAATACAAGGAATCAATATCACGCCTCAATGTCCAACCAAAACCAAAACCCTAATCCCTTACCGATGGCGATCTCGAGCGCTGATGAATCGGGTCGAGAGCAAAGAGCGCTTGAAGAAGAAGAGGGCAGAGAGAAGAGACGAAGTTTGTTGAGGGGAAAGTGAGAAGAGAGAGCTCCACGTATCGCGAGACAATGGACAGCTGGAGCTCGAGGAGGAGAAAATGGCAGAAGAGGAAAGAGAGGAAAAAATCAAAATTAAATGAGGGCTC